TCGAAGGCCCCAGGACAACCACCAAACGCACTAACATATTAGAACTAACGTGACGTTCCAAGTGTATTAGGCAGCTGCCAAAATGTACTGTGCACCCAGCAGCGTTATCAGATGCCGCAGGGAGGCCCCGAACACGGAGCACCCCCACAGTCGCTGGCAGATGAGAGGCAAGCAATCAAAGGATGAGTGGCATTTTAAAAAAGGCATGATACCCTCTTTAAAAATGGGCAAAGGATATCGGTAGACGTGTCTTCAAAGAAGACATACGAATGGCCAACGGGCACAAGAAGAGATGCTCCACACTCATTAGTCAGGAGGGAAAAGCCAATCGAAAACGGGATGCCACTTCACACCCACTAGGATGGCTAGAATCAAAAAGACAGACAATAGCAAATGTCAGTGATTATGTGGAGAAATTGGAATCCTCACACATTGCTGGAGGGAATGCAAAGTGCAGCCGCTTCGGAGAACAGTCTGGAAGTCCTTTGCTGCCCCACTCATTGGTAGCCCGAGCCTGGACTGGAAACTCAATGGGATGCCTTTTGGTTGGGATTTTGGAATAAGTGATAGAAAGAAAAAAGGGGACAATTTGGACCGACCATGGCAGTTGTAGTGATGATGGAGGAACGGAGCGGTCTGTTTGCTGCCCTTGGCCCGCTGGAGCTGCCCAGATAGCCGTCCCTTCTCGAGCCTGAAGATAATTCTGTGGGTCACTCACATCTTTCCATGAAATGTCCTTTCCCCTCAAGTCAGACTCAGAGAGAAGGCTCTGCCTACAAAGGCTCTGAGTAACTCCAGTCTCTAACAGATGCTCTGGGTAATAGAGTGATAAACCAATCTCTAAATGTGATTCGGCTTCCCATATAGATTGATGTGAGGAAGAAATTCCGCTCTCCGCTCACTTTTTGCCAGCTCATGAATTCAGGTTCACAGGCCAATGATATTTCTTGGCGTAAATTAGTAAATGGGCACTAGGACATCTTAGCTAATGCCAGTTCAACTCTCAGAACCGACTTCCCTGTGGCCCGTAAAGGGGTCGACAAGATGCCACCCACAGGGCCAGAAGGCTTCTCTGGAGCTGAAGACATCCGAGAATCAACAGTTGCAGAAAGATGCTTTTACTGAACTTCCCTTATCTGCATAAGAGCAGAGCCTCCTGAAAGAATTCAACGGTCATAAATGCATAAATGCCCTCCCCAGGAGTTTCACAACCAAAGAAGACTGACTCCTCTCACTAGAGATGAGAAGGAAGCACCAAGATAAGAAACTGCCTAAACAGACACTGTCACAAAACTATCTCCTCTTCATCCACCTAAAGCCCTGTTTAATTTTCATAAAAGCCATTTGTTTTTCCAGAAGTGCCTTTTCCCCTCCTCCCCTGTTAAAATGGTATATAAGCCCTAAATTCTAATTGCCTATTTGAGTCTCATTTTTCTGGTGCTCCCCATGTACATCAGCGAATCAAACTTGGTCTTTTCTCCCGGTCATCTGTCGGTTTCAGTTTAATTTGCAGGCCCCACTGACAGAGCCTAAATGGGCTGAGGGAAAGCTTTTCCTCCCTGACACCACACACAAGATGCACAGATGGATTCACAAATGCTAGAACCAGTCAGCCAGGACCCTACTCTGATCAGAAGGCAAGGGCCATGTCTTACTTATTAAGGGAGTCTCTCCAATACCAGAACAATTTGTTAGACATTGTAAGGTTCAATAAATACCCATTTAATGAATTTCAATTATGAAGCAGCCTTGCCAGCATAGCAGTCCCAAGACCTGTGCATGCAGGGCATGATTAATGCAAAGTGGCTTCAGCTTGTGAGTATCAAAGTAATGGATTTGGTTTTCTTTTATGATTATAGAAATCTGTCTTATTATTTTATAGTATGTCACATACACATTTTTTTCTTTTTCTCTTACTATAAAGCCATAATCTCCCTGGTTCTAAGATATGAGCCATACTCTTCCAAATATTCCAAGAGCCTTTTAAATTATAAAATGATGGACCTGGTTCAGACTTGTGCAAAGGAAATCGAAGATACTTTTCTCCTGGGCTTCATTGGTCATTCATTTATGTCTGCTGGAGGTAAGTCAGGATAATGTCCTCAACTTCCTTTGAGCATAGAAAATTAGGGTTGAAAAGGATCTGAAAGGATTCCTACTTTAACCACCCATTTGATGTTTGAATCTGCTCAAGGACAGCCTGAGAGGTGGGTGCTCCACTCATGTAACTGACTGTAAGGCACCTCAGTGTGTTTGCACATGGCTCACATACTTAACATTTCTTCCTTCAACTGAACCTAGCCCTTCCTCCTGGCATTCTCTCTCTTGGTCTTGGTCCAACCGGTCCTTTTGAGGTCTTATAGAATACACAGGTCTAATTCTTTTCCCACCTGCCCACACCATTACACACTCTGGGTCCAGCTTTTCTAGGTTAAATGTCCTTGGTTTCTTCGGTCATTCTTCATTATCACTTGGTGGCTTTCTAATCTTAAAATCCATAGTAACAATTTTAGAAGAATTGATTAAGTAGAAGGGACTTGCCCTACCAGATTATCAGGGCTCTTTATAAAGCTATAATAATTGGGAATTTAGAATTATATTCTCAAATTTTTTTTTAAATTTTTATTTTTTTGAAGATTTTATTTATTTATTTGAGAGACAGCGAGAGAGCACAAGCAGGGGGAGCAGGAGAGAGAGAGAGAGAGAAGCAGGCTCTCTGCTGAGCAGGGAGCCCGGCATGGGGTGTGATCCCAGGACCCTGGGATCATGACCTAAGCCGAAGGCAGACGCTTAACCAACTGAGCCACCCAGGCGCCCCTCAGTTTCTTTGTTTCTTATTACCTCTAGCTCCTCCCCTCTTTCTTGGGTTCAATTTCCTTTTACTTCAAGTACAACCTTCAGTAGTTCTTTCAACACGTGCCTCTGAGTGGTAACCTCTCTCAGTACCCGATTGTCAACAATGATTTTTGTGCATGATTCTCAGCTCCCCCTCCCCTTTCGGAAGGGCCCAAAGCCACATTTCCTGTCCCTTTACGGGCATGACATTCCCCTACATGTCAGTTCTGACATATCCCAGCTTCCTGAGCATTAGCTCATCTGCTTTACATTCTGGTTTGTGTTTCCTCTTTATTTCTCGTACCTAAGGATTTCCCTTTCTTTGTTTTGAGCTCAGCTTTATATTGTTATATTTCATCCTGTGTTTGTCATAGGAGGTGGGGGGGAGGGTCCACATTAATCTTTTTAGTTTCTATTACTGGAAGTCCAGATATTCTATTCATAACAAATTTCCCTCTTACTAATGTTTATTATTCTCCTTTAAAATAAACATCATATATTTTGATAGAGAAAACAGACATGACAGAGACAGCTGGACACTTCTTGCTCCGTTTCAGGAAAAGATATAAAGTTTTCTAAAAAAAATTTTTTTTTAATTTGGTACATAGGGAACATTCCCTAAGTAATAATTTGGGAAAAGGCAATCATCTGCCAAGAAATGGAATTTCCCATTGGTCTCTATCTATTTTCTTACATCACCCTCACTTCTGTTTGCTCTACAGAGGTGATTCCTACTCAATATTTGATTTTCACCCTCCACGCTAAGAATGCCAAAGCAGCATCTTGAGAAACTGGTCTCTGCAAGGAAGTCATCCTCAGGCCAGTCCCAGAGCTCAGCTACTCTTGCAAATCAGCAGCTGGCTGGAGGCTGAACTGGTTCCAAATCCTGGGAATTCACAGCTCCTAATAGATGAATAAGATCAATCTCATTTGCATTTCATCGTGACTCAGGAATTCCCTGATACTGCATCCCTGAGTAGATTAAAACAAGTCAGTTTAATCAGCCCAAGGCCTTCGTTGTCAGGATATCAACCTGAGAGATTTCCATACACCCTAGTGACAGGACCCAAATGCTCCCATCAAGAAGGAATAGTCCATGTCAGCCTGCTGGAGGGTGGAGGCTGTGTGAGCATGGCAGAATCCCAATACAGCTCCTCTCAGAAATGTCTCATGGTCAAGGCACAGAGAATGGATAAATATTCACGAGTATCAGCAAATAAATGGAGGCACTGTCCAATTATTATGTTGGAAATGCATTCTGAATCATCACATATGGGCCAAGAGAAGAAGCCATAGGTGAGGGTAAGGAGTCTTCATAGAAATGATAGCAAAGACCGAACCAGTCACACACTGGTTCACTGGAGCAGACAGTTCATTTCAATAAAATGTATTTCATGTGACTCTACAAATGTCCTGACCTGGAAGAGAAGAATGGAAGAAGATGGGCTGGAAGTGGGCAGAGGGTGGGGAGAAGATCAGACAAGCTCCAATAATCAACTCTGCCATTAATGGTAAGAAAACAGCAAGAGAGTAAAGGGTATACTTTGCAGAGCATAAATGGCAGTTGTGATGAGTGGTGTTGGTCTACAATCCTTGTTTCCTTACCTTTCCAAAGGAGCAATGACAACCCCTACCTTAGGAAGGCTGGGTCCCCTTGAGAAATGGAAACCACCTCAGCACTGCATATCACTTTGGTCACAGGTGGCCCTTCACTGTGTCAGTTCCCTCTGCGAACACCTGAGTGGTCACTCGGCAGTCAGTGGAACGCTTACCAAGTCCAGGCCCCAGTGGCACACCGCCATCTTTGGCGCTTCACTACAACACACAGGCAAAGCCATCTTTTTCCCACTGCGCACACTGAACCGGGGGGCCGGGGTGGGGGGACAAAGTCCTGTATTCCTTAAGACCAGATTTCATCTTAACATGTCATCCAAGGGGTAGGAAAGGTCCTCCTACTGAAAATGCAATTGAGGACAATTTTGCGGAAGGCGGGGGATTCCGGTTTCGGAAGCAACCAGATTGGTGGATGGAGACGGGCAGATGTAATGACTTTCCAAGTCACCTTTTTATGCCAGACACGGTCTCCACCACAGCAGTAGGGTGGGCTGGAAGGCTCCTGTGTGGTGGGAGAGCCCAAAGGCCGATGGCCAGCTGCCGTGACTCACCTGTTGAGATATACCCGCTTCTCGGTGAACTGCCCGTTGCCATGGTGAGGATCCTCAAAGGGTTCATTCTGGACGACCTCCACCCCTTCTCCTCGGTCGCTCTGTTCATGGCTGTGCTTGCTGATCATGTACAGCTGTCCGATTTTGTACTACAAAACAGACAGTGACAGAGAGGTCAGCCCCACAGCTTGCCTTCAAAAACACCCCCCCCCCCGCCCTTCAACGGTGCAGCAAGCAATGACAGTCAGCACTTTCTGCCAGAAAAAGAAGGCAGACACATGGGCCTGGTGTTATTTTTCCTCCGGAGTGAGGAGGAGAACCAGTTGTGAGTCGAGTGTAGATACGGCACGTTCCCGTGAACAGTCTGCATCGTTGGGGTGATGCTTGCCGGGATGGCTGGCAGACTCAGGGCTGGCAGCCCCCCAACCCATGGGCAGCAGCAGGAAGGCTGGAGCAGTGGAGGCCCCCATCCCATTCTGGCCCTACGGGGTTAAATGGCGCTAAAGACCTATTTTGTCTGGCAACAAACAGGCCAGGATGTGTTATTTCTACCCCTTTTCTGCCTCATTAACTGCACTGCCGGGCACGAGGGGTCACCTATATCTTCCGTCACCTCTCTCCAACTCTCCAAGTCTCCTGAAGTTCTCTGTCCCCTAGAATAGCAGTTCTCAAGGGTGGCTGGACATTAGAATCACCTGGAAGCTTTAACGAACTCCAGCTGACCAGGTCCCACCATGAATGGAACGTGTATTCTCCAGCCTGACTCCACAATGACGAAAGTCTACAGTGTCTTTAACTCCTTTCTGCCCAATTCCACCCACAGTGTAGAGCCTTCCAGCCCGAGGTCCCAGAAGCCATATGTACTTACAGGAAAATGATATGGAGCAACAGACAATGTGAACATTCTCTGCCCTGTCTGCATTTCTGAGCTGTTCTACTCTCCCTCCTGCCTCTCTTGAGAGCCCCATAGGCATGTCTTCCCCCAGTGAACTTTCAGAGTGGCAAAACTAATTTGATGGAGAAAATAAAGAGGCAGAGAGAGAGGAAGGAGGGAGTAAATTGACTTTTGCAAGAGGGAGGTCTGCTCAGAGCCAGGAGGCAAAACGATGCCCCCCTGCTGTTGTCCTTCCGTCAGATTTGGTGTGAAGGAACACACACACTGTGTCACATCATCAAGGCCCCTGGGAAGGGGAAAAGGGGCCTGAGTCTGCAATAAAATAATGATGGGTTGTTCTGAACTGTTCCCCAAAGAGCTCAGGCCAGCAGGGATATAGGTCTCCTGTCTGTGCACAAGAGAGAAAAATAGATTTTATGATATTTTATTTTTGAGAGCGAGTGAGCGAGCGAGAGAACAGGAGAAACAAATTTTAAATTAAGGGGGCAGGTGAAATGGACAAATCAACAATGTAGTCAGTTCTAAGACTGAGAAGGACACACACCTCCAAAGGTCCCTCTTAAATTGTGAGGCAGTTGCCGAGAGGGGAGTGTGAAGGAAATCCAAAAGCCTCTGTCTGGTCGGGGGCAGCCCTAGGACCCAGGCCCAGTAACCATGACATAACCAACATAGCCAGCAGCAGCAGGCTCAAGTCTTCTCAACGGGCAGTGCTACCTGTCCCACACCCCTCCCCAGAATGATCTGCGCCTAAAGTGCTTCTAACGTGTGTACGTGTGTGCACATGCATGCATGTGCTGCACACACTCTGGGGGAGAGGGAGTGCTGAGGATAAGAGCAGGAAATGGAGAGGGAGAAATCAAGGATAAAATCTATCTTTGAATTTATTTTCAATCAGAAGCTTGGCCTGCTTCCCCTTAGTAAGTCTGGCCCCTACTTTTGCTCATAAAGACTACCTAGGACTCTTTCAAGAAGGAAGACAGTGGGGTGCCTGGGTGGCTCAGTCGGTTAAGCGTCCGACTCTTGGTTTTGGCTCAGGTCATGATCCCGGGGTCCTGAGATCGAGCCCCACGTCGGGCTCTGCGCTGAGCAAGGAGCCTGCTTGAGATTCTCTCTCTCCCTCTGCCCCTCCCTCCCTCCATTCATACTCTCTCTCTCTCTCTCTCTCTCTCAAAAAAAATGAATTTTAAGAAGGAAGACAGTAAGAGAAAGTTTACAGATCAGGGATTCTTGAGATACACCTGTGAGATCACACTCCAACTTATGCAGATGGACACAGGAGCCTCTAAGGGGAAGGATGCTCGGCTGCCTGCACCGGCAGTTGCTTTGTACTTGGTGTTCCAAAAACAAGTGTTTGCCTTCAATGGAATACTATTTAGCCATAAAAAGGAATGAAGTTCCCATACTGATACTGCTTAGTGGATGTTATGGGTTGAACTGTGTTTCCCCAAAATCCTATGCTGAAGTCCCAGTATCTCAAAGGGTGACCTTGTTTGGAGACAGAGTCTTTACAAAGGTCATCAAGTTAAAATGAAGTCATTAGGGTGGGCACTAATCAACAGAACTGGTGTCCTTACCCACAAGGGCAAGCTGAACACAGAGACACAGATGGAAGGAAGACAGCATGATGTGGCACAGGGAGCCGACAGCCATCTCTAAGCCAAGGACTGATGGACTAGCTCCTTCCCTTACAGCCTTCAGAGGGAACCAACTCTGCCTGCTGACCCCCTGATCCTGGCCTTCCGGCATCCACAACCATGAGGCTATCAAATTCCGGTTGTTCAATCACCCAGCCTGTGGTGCGTTGCTTTGGCGGTCCCAGCCAACAAATACAACGGGCACGGGGCTTCCTTTGGAGGTGATGAAAGGGTTCTGGTTCTGGATAGAGGTGCACAACACTGGGAACGTACCAGGTGCCACTGACCTGACCTTAACAAGATGAGAATTTTACGGGCTGTGATATTTGCCTCAATTTTTTCTTTTAAAGTGTTGACTCTACTTCTGACGCAGATACCCCTAAAACCAAAATCCCATCAAGGGCTTTAGTGGATGGGGGTGGGGGGTGTTGGCCGAAGGGATAGGTCTACCACCGGACCGTCTTTAGCAGCTGCAGCCTACTCCTGTATGAAGGATGTATGGCATCAAGGACAATGCATGACCCAGAAGGGCCATTAGCCAGGTGCGAGTCAGCCCTGGGCTTCAAGTGCTTCCTGCTCTGTGGAAAAGGGAACGGGCCGAGGCAGCCGGCAGCTGATTCACCAGTGGCCGCTCAGCTTCATTGATCATTCCAGAGGCTATTGAATGAGCCAGTGTGCGGCGGACGCCTGCCTTAGCTCATCGGGGTAACGTCAGTCCGGGGGCAGCCGCCGGACGCTGGATGCGGTAACGTATGTAGCACGACTGGGGGTGGCGGGACAACCAAGGCCAGACTCGGGGATGGTCAAGGGCTCGGCAGCTGTCCCTTCTTTCCCTCCCAAGCACGTCAGGCCTGCTCTGCTGGTTCTGGCCATCTGAGGGGGGCCATCCAGAAGCAGAGGTTTTGTTCTTGGTTTTAAACCGCAAATTAACTCGCAGACACATGCAGTAAGCAGTTTCTCAGGGACAGGGTAGAGGGCAGGACAGAGACAGTCACTGAACCATCTATCTCAAAATCACCAGGGATACTCCTCAAAATGTTGGATCCCAGGCCATCCAGACCCTGGGGGAGAGGGAAGCAGGGGACCTGGCTGGAACGCACATTAAATGCTGAGAGCCACCAGGGCCGAGGCGGCGAAGGCATTCATCAGCACCTGCTCGGCACCACATGGCGCCCAAGCCAAAATGTTCCACCTTTGGGGGGCCTGGCTTTTCTTTCCTCTTCAATACTCATTTTTTTTTTCAAAGCTCTGTCCCTAGTGTAGTGAAAATACCACATTCCTCATCACTGTCTCCAAACAAACTTGTATGGCAAAGGAAGGCTGACAAATGCAAAGGTTCTGAAGGGCTCTTCAGACTTTGAAGCCAGAGGCGCGCCTGGGTGGCTCAGTCGGTTAAGCATCTGCCTTCGGCTTGGGTCATGGTCTCCGGGTCCTGGGATGGAGCCCCCGAGTTGGGCTCCCCGCTCGGCAGGGGGTCTGCTTCTCCCTCTGCCGCTCACCCTACTTGCGCTCCCTCTCTCTCTCTCTCAAATAAATAAAATCTTAAAAAAACAAAAAAGACTCTGAAGCCAAAGAACGAATAACAGATCTGATGACTTCACGCTCACAATGACCTCCAAATGAGGAGACTGAGTCTCAGATAGGGGCAACTTTCTCCAGGCCATGTGGTAGAGCTGGGATTTGAACACCACGGGGTCTGTACTGTTTCTTCTCTACCCAATTTCCGCCCTTATTTCTCTGACAAGTGAACCGCTTTCACAAATCTAGGCCTCACTACGATTTTGAAAAAGGGGAGAGCTGGGAGCCACTGCCTCTGAACTTTGCTATTTCAGAAGCCGAACGACTGAAGTCTGAGATCATGTGAACGATCAAAGTTGTTTAAACTGTGCCCACATATGGAAGAGTGGAGCAATTATGCTCTAACTTTGTAAAATCGATTGTTATAATTCCAGAGTTTGGGTAATCATCATTACAGGCAATCACGATTAGAGACAGCTCCACGCTGCAGGGCTGAGCCTCTGTGTGAGCCGTCATCAGAACAGCTACCCCAAATAATTATCTCCGTAGTCAAAAAACATCATGGGGCTTCAGATCTTTCCCACTTGCACACAGTGCTGCACGTTTGATAGAGCTGCAAAATTGGAGGGAAGGCACAGTTGCATAAATGTGCCTGGGGAAGCCGAGCATTTTTATCAGTTGGTACAATTGCAAACTCTATGACTGGGCACAACCCAGTTACTCAACACAGTTCAACCTCGGGGTGTCTGGGTGGCTCAGTCGGTTAAGCATCTGACTCTTCATTCCAGCTCAGGTTGTGATCTCAGAGTCGTGAGATCCAAGCTCCGCGTTGGGCTCTGCGCTCAGCGGGGAGTCTGCTTAAATTCTCTTTCCATCTGGCCCTCCAACCCCCACTCTCTCTCAAATAAATCTTTTAAAAAATACAGTTCAACCTCAACCCTTGATTTTAGAAAAGGTGACCCTAAGACAGAACTCCTGAGTATATGGTTTATTAATCGAGCACCACCCAAAATTGAAACATCATCGCTGCCACAAGTATTGGACCCAAAGTGTTAGGCTCAACAGAACCCCAAACTATGAATGATTTTCACTTAATTGCCCC